CAGCCAAGCAAACGAGTTGTTGTTTTTTTTAAATAGGACCTTGTGGTGATCTGTTATCACCCTTATAGTAGAGGCTAGGAACCACTTCCATAGACTATGGTGCTAGGTATTGTACAAACGCAGAGTAAGACACAGCCTTGATTGGCCTGATCCAAGGCTTGGATTTCTATTGCAGGTGGCTCAGGAGCACGGAGAAGGGTCAGCACTGTAATCCGAGTTATCCGGGGCTGAGGATGTAGTAAGTCTATTGACGATAGTGGTGTTGTTCCAAATTGACACATCGCAGACGAGATGAGTGCGGCCCAAAATGGCAATGTGCGTCTCCCCAGCACATTTCTTTAGCAAATTGCATTTTTTGTTTCACTGCTGTTTTTAAGCTGAGTTTTTGCAGCTACATCGCACAGCCCTGCAGGGACCCGGTGAGGTTTCTGTGCTGAGATGATGCCTCACTTTACATACTTGTCTCAGAGGGGAAAGTGACTATGATGGCATTTCAGCATATATTTCATATTGTTCCATGCGAATAACAGGATCTGATGATTGAAATCTAATACCTGGGAACCAAAATGAATTGTTTGCCTTCTCGTGAAATGCTGTGCCTCTGTGCTTCCTTCTCATTTGCACACACACACACACGTGCGTGCATGCACACACACACTCTCACCGGGGCTTCATAATACAGCAAATTGCTTATACACATGTAAGCAAATATCTTCTCAAATTATCTCTTATCACCAAATGGGGTGTGATGCTTGTTGTTCAAGGGGCTGAGGTTGCCTTTCAATCTGCCGGGGCCGGCCTGACACCAAAAATAAACAGCATAAGCCTGGAACGGTTGTCGCAAGGGGCAGAAAGAACTTGTCAGGCGGGAGTGTGTGAGCCGGCAAGATGATAATGTGGCATGACACTTCTGAAATGAGACACCGGTTGCCATGGTGAGGAGTCAGGAGGGACTATCTCTCCAGAGGCTGAAATAAAACATGCTTTAAATGATGTTTGATTAGAATTTAGATCATGTAACTGAGTGGCTGGACCCGGTTTTTCCTTTTACCCATTGTCGTTGTCGTCTTCGGCTGCCGGCGGAGTTCACTCTCAAAAGAAAGGGTTCTGGATTCTGCGCGGCCCCGTCTGTACACCCCCCCTACCTTGCACTCCCAACGTGCGGAGAGGTTACTTAGTCCCATGCTCCAGTCAATTATGCTCCTTGCTAACTCTGCTTGCATTTTCCACTTGAGCCCATCTTAGTTTAAGCCAGTTAAAAAATGATTCCCTTGCTTCTGCAAAATGCTTAATCAATAGCACCCTGAGAATATTCCCCTCCTTACTTGGCTTTTTCCCAGAGTGGTCTAACTCAGGGTATCCGTCGCCTTGTTAATCTATATTAAGGATACAGCCCGTGAAAGGTTAGGCACAATAGTCCTCTTGTGCTCTTCGTATTAAAGTGAGAGGGTGCATGTATGTGAAAGGGATCATCTCGAATCGTGGAAAGAACTTGGAAAAGAATAATTGAGAGGTCAATGCAAAACCAAATGCAGCTTGTCACTGCTGCCTCACAAATGGAATGGGAGAGTTCAAAATGAATTTTTACGTGTTGCAATGTCACCTGCAAAACGCACTAAATTAATTGTCAAATGTTTCAAAATAGCCCCTAGCAGAAAGAGGGATGTGAGGGGTGGCTCATGGGCTCTGGGATATAGAGCTTTTCACCACTTGGTTGCTCATAAAGATGTCCAGGTACTTAACAAGCATGTTGCAGAAGGTATGCAATGATTCCTGTTCCTATCATTCACTATTTGCATACAAGACATACAAAAAGCCAGAACTCTTGCTTCCAAAATGATACCTTTTATTAGACCAAGTGGGAAATCGCAAGAAAATTGTCCTTTTCTGCCAAGAAACCTTCAACAGTTACGGAGCAGCTGGGATCCTGAGAAAAGCAGTTGTTCGAATAAAGCAACCAAAACCAGCGAAGGCATCGAATAGGAAAACTTTCTCGATGGTAAGAACCGGTGGGCCAGCTACTTGGTCTAAGTTAAGGCAGCTTCATTGAAACAAGTAGTCGTACAATGGTTTACGCCTGCAAGGAACCTGGACTTAAAAATCTGCTAATGGTCCATTCGACTTGGTCAGTGGAAGCTGTTGGTATCTGATGCCTTTTGTGGTAGCGGAGGTGAACTAAGTCTGATGGTCTTGCTACCGTCAGAAGACATGAGTCTGTTTCGTATAACCCAATACCACCAATGGCATTAGTCTGCTGAAGGCAAATGAATGATTGTGGAGACCCCACCAGCCTTGCCTCTTGCCATGAGGACCTGATGTAGCATCAGATCGTTATTTGGGGACGCTATGTTCCCTAGCAGAATCCCAATGTAACTGCATGCTGTTAACAAACTATAGTTTTACACACGCCTTTAAAAAAAAAACCAGCTTTCCTTTTCACTTGCATTTTAATTGTGGTCATGTGCTTTGGTGAATGAAGTCATTACATCCATCCAGGTAAAAGGGAGTGTACAACACTTAGGTTTTCTTTGCTATTCAAAACCTCATCTGAGGCAGCATTGGCTAGAGCTGCTATTGTGTGTATTTATTTAAATATATAGATATATAGTGGCTCTGTATGAGACAAAGTGTATCCTAGGAGTCGCTGAATGCCCTGTAATTTATGAGAGACAAAGAGGTACATTAGATATTGTTAGAATACATAATAATCCTCAGGCAATAATTTATTCAGGTTAGGATCTCCATAATTCTTGACTGCACTCTAATGAAGACCACTGATGCTTATTATATATTTTTGTGTACATTAGAGGTACCTGTGAATATATGGATACTGGACTTGCCTCCTGCTACCCATGCTATTTGTGGAGCTGCCAAGGGCATCGCACTGTTAGGATTACTTGCCTGCCCTCTCTGTGGAGGATGCGACAAATTCTCCTGTTCTCCAGGAGTGATTCCTTTTTGCTGCGAGCTCTTTATGACTTTATGGCAATGCAATCAGCCTAGTCAACGTGTTTCTAGCAGCAGGGTTCAGGGACGCTGTGACTCAAAGGGCACCTCTGGTTAGCTTGCCTCTCTGTCTCTTCCTCCGAGGGCACCCTTAGTCAGTGACTTAACACCTTTAGTCTGGGACTTAATCTACGCTCAAGCACCACGGGTATGTGGTATGTCCCGGCCAATGTTGCATGCTGTCCATGCGAGGAAACAAACCAGTCGTACCTGTTGTGGAACAATATCCATGACTGCCCAGTGCCTTTCTCTCATTGCAGTAAATGAAGCATTGAAAGACCAAGAACTGTGCTGATGGAGGGCTAATGTCATTTGAAGGACTCACAACTGGTTGTCATAGCTTAAAATGTAGGGCCGGCAGGCAGCCCGCCCGTGTGCTGCAGTGTATAACAGCCACTACAGATATAATTAGCTTCACTGTTTAAACTTGGTCATTAATAGCGTCACGTGACATAACGTATGTATTAAAAAGAAATCAGTGACAGCACAGGTATTCTGGTTGGTAGGGCTACTGGTCCCTAATAGACAAGTATCAGAAAAGAAGTACTTAAGTCAAAATGATCTATTAAGAAAAACCCAAACTAAAGCACTATCGTTTACATTTTCAAAAGCGGCTGGAAATTTCTGGTGCTTCTTTCTTTGCATGCTGAGTCTCAGAGAGGCCAGATCTTCATGGATGGGTTACTCATTACTTTCTGAGCATCAGAGAACTTAAAAATCTTCCATAGGGCTGACAAAGCCCGAGGCACCCAGAACTCATCGGTCACTTTTGAAAAGCGTTGGCAGATATTTTCTTTCCTTTTTTGGTCTTTATTTAGCCAGCGGAGTTTCCAAAAACATCCAAATAACTTGCAGTGGGAGTTGTGCTCCCAAATCACTGAAAAGCTTTTGATCCTTATGAATCCCCAGTTATCTTTCCTGCTTGGTGCAGGGGGCTAGACCCGATGATCATCCGAGGTCCCTTCCAGCCTTACAATCTATGAATTAGTTAAGCAAGTCTTGAGTAATTTATGAGGGTTCTCATGTCTATCTAGATATATTTTGTGGATACAAGATAGGTTCTTTCATTCCAATTTAATAGCATTTACTTTTTTCAAACCAGTCCAGAATATCCGTTTTTCTGCTATTGTACTTGGGGTTGGGGGAATCATAAAGGTAAGGCTTTTATTTTGCAGCACCATCAATTGCGGTTTTGACTGGAGTTCAGCTGCTCTGTTTGGAGTTCAAATGTTCTCATCTGGAGGCAGCCACGAGGTGCTGTAAAGCATCTTGAAAGGTGCTATGTTGCTGGCCCCATGCCCACGCAGGATATTGGCCTGGGACTGTGACAGTTATGTCCTGTCCTAACATCCAGTGGGAGACGGAACAGAAAGGAAAAAATAGGAAGTTTCTCTCCAAAGGGCATTATGCAAAGAGCAAGTGGACACAGGTGGGCAAGATCTCTTTGCCATCCCTACATTGAAACCTCTTTGTAATGGTGATTCCTTGA